AGGCGCTGGCAGTAGTTAAAAAGATCGCGAGTGATGTTAGGATCAAGAGTTCCCCCTGCGGGCCATTGGTTGTTATTGTCTAGGGGGTATGTCGGCTAATCTTGGGAGCAATATTTACGGAGAAGTTTTGGTTTTATATCAGGCGTCAGGGAGAGGGTAGCCAGATGCTTAAGCAGGCATTCAAGAGGTGAACTTTCGGGGAGGGATGAGGAGGCTCCCATGGCTAAAGGACAGAGAAGGAGACAAACAGGGGAAGACGAACAGAGATCCTCGGACTGGAAGCAGACCACAAGGAGACAAAGGGCGTCCCTGATGATCCTTGGTGGTCTGCGGAAACTCGTACACGAGTCGGAATTTCTTAGGAAGTGTGGGTCGTCACCCAGACTTCCCTAAGAAGGCAGAGTGCCGGAGTCACGAGGTACCTATCGCTAGGCGTTTTCAGTGGATGGAGCAGAAGGAGGAGGGGGGGAAAAGGGAGTGTTCTCATCTACAAAGGAGTCACCTCATTTATGGCTGTTGGAGGGGGGTGCCTGAGAGTCGACCGCCACCGTGAAGGTCTGAGGCAGGGATTTATGACTGTCGGAGAAGGGGCCTGAGCGTCCGCCGCAGCCATAAAGGCTTGAGGCAGGGATTTATGGCTGTTGGAGGAGGGGCCTGAGCGTCCGCCGCAGCTGTAAAGGCCTGAGGCAGGGAGAGTTCCCTCCTCATCCCCGAGTGTTAGGGCTTTGCCGGATGATCACGGTCAATGGCACTGCGATAGCTCAGGGAAGAGTGGCCCACCCCGGGGAAATTTTGCTTAAAAAGTTTCAGCACTGATGGAAGGGACTGTGAATGTGTTTATGACTGTCGGAGGAGGGGCCTGAGCATCCGCCGCAGCCGTAAAGGCTTGAGGCGGGGATTTATGGCTGTTGGAGGAGGGGCCTGAGGGTCTACCGCAGCTGTGAAGACCTGAGGCGGGGAGCATTCCCTCCTCATCCCCGAGCATCAGGGCCAACTTGCCGGATGATCACGGTCAATGGCACTGCGATAGCTTGGAGAAGAGTGGCCCACTCTGGGGGCAAATCTTACCTAAAGTCCAGAGAGGAGTGGTGAGTGTGATGAGCCAGCACCGGAAAAAGAGGATGAGGGCAAGCTGCTGCTGGTGTCGGAGAGAAGACGGGGCCCAGTTGGGGTGTCCTGTCTCCCGGGTTTCGGCACCAATGAAAGGAAAGGAGCGACACACAGCAGCAATTCACCGGAGAGTTCTGCTTTATTAGGGAAAGGTGCTGGGTTATATAGGAAGGGATATGAATTGATTGAGTTATCACTTCTACAGGGCTGGTGGCTTTTGGCTAGGTGCTGGGATTGGGAGGGGAGTGAGAGGTGATTGGGCTTCAGGTGGCGCCGGCGGGAACTGAGGACCCCGAAGAGAAGCCGGAAGTTTGCCATCTTACTGGTGGGGACCCTTCACTATCAGCTACAGTCCATCAATAATTTCCTTGTTTTGCTCCCTCCTTTTCTCTGTAAAAGTGTTTCTCCAGCTCCTGCCAGTGGAGAACTCCTAACCACTTCTTGTTAGGCATTGCCCCATTCCAAATGATTTTGCTCAAATAAACTCTTAGAATTTGTAATATGCTTCAGTTTATCTTTTAGCAATATAAATTGCTAGATTATTTTTTAGGAAGTTCATATGCACTGTGTGACAGTGTACTTCTCAAGGCAGGCATCCTTGTTAACAGTGAACATTATCATTAAAACATCTTTCTTTCTGATTTGATAGACAAATAATTTAAAACCAAGTTAAATTTGGATTGCATATCTAATTTGGATTAACACATACTCTGTTCCTATTGTAAAGGAATGCAGAACATCAAGAATCAGGATAAAATTTAACTGCACCTTAGAACAAAACCACCCGTTTTAGTAGAAACTGCCTGAGACTAACATTCCTGGACCCTGCCCTAAATTAGATAACTAGGAGTGGGCGACCCCCTAGGGCCGAAACTCGTGATAAGTCACAAAGGAATGCTTGTGTAAAGGTCAGGCAACCGGTGTGTTCCCCTTTCAGTTTTATTGGCTAAAGTATAGAATGTGTTCCAAATTCATTGGTTGTGGTAACGTGGGGGCTTCGGTGCAACAGCTGTGAAAACCCTATATAATCCATACCTAAAGTTGCTTGGGGGTCTGCAGCTCGGACTCTACCTGCAAGTCAGGAGAGGTGCTGTCGGCCCCAGCTAGCTGGCTGATTAAAGACTTTGCTTGAATTTACATCTCCGCATCCGTGTGGTTTGTTCTCTGGAGGAACCTCGGAGTCTAGGACCCTAACACTATTTTTCTAGTCATGGAGTTTCACACACTGAGCATTCCTCTAAGTCCTTTTCCCTTTTGTTCCATTAGAGGAATAGGACCAGGCCCCCCAGGTCCCTGGAGAGTCAGACTGCCAAGGTCCTGAGTTTATTTTGCAGGGATTTCCTCTCAGCAGTCAGGTGGAGCTGCTGTGCCTACTGCTCCTGCTCCTGTTCCAGCAGTTGCTCCCAGAGACATGTCTCATCATCTCTTTTGTGCTGTCTTATGCCTACCTCCACACCCCCATGGGCTCCTTCCTGTGTAGCCTCTCTATACTGGCCATCCTCATCACCTCAGTCAGTTCTCCAAAACTGTTGGCCAACTTGGTGTCTGGGGAAAAAAACAATCCCCTTTGCTGGGTGTATCACTCAGTGCTATTTGTACTTCTTCCTGGCATGGCAGTGTCTTCTGCTGACAGTCGTGTCGTATGATCACTGTATTACCATCTGCTACCTGCTGTGGTACAGGTCTGCATTGAGACTACTGTGATCTCTTGGGTGGAAGCCTTCCTATTTGTGCTCTTTCCAACCATCCTCATTTTCCAGATGCCCTTCTGTGATCCCTCCATTATTAACCCACTTCTTCTATGACAGTGGGCTCTTGCTGACCCTCTCTTGGCAACACACCACTGCCACTGAGCCTTTGCTTTTTCATATACAGCAACAATATATAGCAGTAATAGCACAACTCCTTTTGGGTTCCCAGACCCGATTCCAACATGCATGTGTGGGAGGGGTCTTCCTGTGCTCAACACCAAGCCATCCTTGAACACCAGCAGGGTGTCCAAGAATTCAACTTAATTCTGATTCTGTCTGCCCGGAGACAGCATCATATTCCCCAGGTTAAGGGCTCTGTCCAGCAAGACTGCCCTCCAGATGCCAGTCACAAACCCCAGGCAGTTACCTATGCCTCTGATCAAGCAGGTACAGATTGGAGGTTCCCACAACCTCCCCCTTAGGTATGATTAATTTGCTAGAGTGGCTCAAAGAACTCAGGAAAACACATGTTTACCAGTTTAATAAAGGATAGTGTGAAGTATACACGCTAACAGCCAGATGAACAGATACACAGGGCAAGGTCCCAAAAAAGGAGTTTCTGTCCTCTTGGAGCTTGGGGTCTAGCTTGGTTGCACATGGAAGCATTCTGGTTCTCCATGTTTGGAACCTCTTTCTGACAGAGAAGCAGGATCCAAGAGAGTGATAAGTTCTTCTCAGAGGTTTTTGTGAGCCCTTCATTGCCTAGTCACAATTGACTAAATCTTTGGCCATTGGCTGATTCAGTGTCCAGCCCCTGTGCTTGGGTGGGGTCCAAAGTCTCATTAACATGACAAGACACCCATTTCACCTTTAAGGCTCTAAAGTGTTTTCAGGAACTGTGGATGAAAACCAGATATACCTGGAAATATATATTTGGTCATATGAATGACCAAATATATATTCCTTATAACTCATTATATCACAGAACCAATAGATTTTCTGCTTGCACTCATGGTCATCCTCTGCCTCATAGTCCTTGTGTCCTATTCCTATATGCACATCATTTTGACAACTGTGCACATCCCTTCTGCAAGTGGAAGGAAGAAGACTTTACTCAATACCTGTGCTTTCCACCTGACTGTAGTCATGATTTCTGGTGGTGTCACAGTATTTACCTATGTAACTCCCTCACAGAAAGAATACCTGGAGATCATCAAGGTCCCTTCAGTACTGAGCAAGGTTGTGGTTCAATTCCTTAGCACCACAGGGTATATATACTTGAGGAATGACATGGTGTTGGGCGTCCTCAAGGATGACTGGGTCAGGGTTCCAGCAGTTTTAGAAAAGAGGATGAGGACAATGCTGAGGAACAGATTGTCCTCCAACAAAGACCACTAGGAAGGGATAGGCCCTCTTCCTCTTCATCACCACATGTCTCTTGTACAAATCCTTAGGAGTAGAAAGACAGGACTTGCCTTAGCAAAATGGTGAATAGCCAAAGGATCCTGAGTGGACTACTGTGGCAGTAAGACTGAGCTTGGAGATGAGGACTTGGACTCTGGTCTTGGTTCTAACTTGAATACTATGGCCACAGCTCTGTCACTAGCCACTCTGGACCTCAGTGACCTCATCTGAAGTATGTCAGGGCTGAACTTAATCTCTAAGTCCCATCTATGTTGAGTGTTCTAAGAATTACAGAAGGGCTGTGCAGCCTGTGTCCTATTCAAAGCTCCAACAGGTTTGGCCCCATTTCCTCATGGGTCTTGAGCACAACTCTTCTATCAGCTTGACGCAAAGTCCTTCCTGGTCCCCTCTGCATGTATCCTTCCATCTTCTCTAGGAAAAAACCTTAATTATTCTCCAATCCACTGTTATATGCTCTAATCCTTGTTTATCCTCAGTGGGGATCTATAATGATTATGGTGAATATATATAGTCTGTGTTACTTAAAAATACTGCTTCCTGTAATAGAACATGTTCATAATAACCAACATGCTCACATTCTTATGCAAGACACAGTCCTGTTCCTCAGCCCCAAATTGTTGCTGGGCAGCTGCATCAGGGGAGGTCTCTCACTAAACACTAGGTGAAACCAGGACAGGCGAGGATTCTTGACACTGAGCAAGAAAGAATTCTTGGCCAGGTTGGATGAGTGTAAGTAAGAAAGGAATTCATTAAAGAAGAGTAGTAGTGGATGGCAGCAGCCATGCAGACAGTAGAGGGCAAGGGAAAACAGAAGGAGGAAAGGAAAGTTCATTGAACCCCTGCTCAGTTTACGGAAAAATCCCTTGCCAACTCCTGAAGCCAGGTCACCTGGTGTCCAGTGTCTTCTTGAATCTGCTCAGCATGGGAACTAAGTTCCTACCACCCCATGATTTGGGGGAGCCACAGAGCACTAAATGGAGTAAGATTATGTTCTGAGAACTTCCCAAAGGCAAAGAAAGGAGATTTTGGGGCAGGCTACTAAAGAACATGATTGTACAGCTGCAGTCTGTTAGGGTCCGGGCTTCCAAGGCTTCTCCAGAGAACAAACTACACAGGCATAGAGATGTAAATTCAAACAAAGTCTTTATTCAGCCAGCTAGCTGGGGTCCAATGTCAGCCCGACGCAGCGGGTCTCAACAAGGACCCTGAGCACTCAAAGCCAAGGGTTTATATAGCATTTTCAAAACACTTAACTCATAGTAATTTTCCACAACTGCACATTATTCTTGCAAGACATACATCCTGGGGTTAGGCAGGAGCAAGATAAGAC